TCTAAATTTCCTAAACCAAAACCATGAATTGGGCTGTGGCATACATTTAGGAATGTCAGATGGACAGCATAAAAACTAAAAACTTAATGGGTCTGTTTTCAGCACTCAGCCCAAGTAGTCTGATTTTCTCGGATTTTCTTGCGTTCGGTGTTTCTTTTTCCTGAGAAATGTCAGCGAGAAAATTTCCTAAGAGAACAAATCTATTCAGAAATTTTCATTAATTTCTTGAAGAAACTTGCTCCAAAATGTCTTGAATTAATAATGTCAAATTGAGATACGAAGACCCCCCTTCTTCGATTGCTTTGTTCGCGATTTGTCCGAGCTCTCTCGCCCTCTTTCTCCTACCTTCTCCATCCTCGCCGCCGGCCATCAGTTGCACTACGGCCCTATTCACTTCTTCCCTCTTCACGACAATGCCAGCCTTCTCCAGTTCCCCCCAACTTATAGGAACCTTGGAACCCAGACTCACACCGATCTCCGCTACTTGAACGATGAACCTCTCGTTGTAGAACTGCTCGGCGAACATTGGCCAGGTTATCATCGGAATGCCGGCGGTCACCGCTTCTAGAGTTGAGTTCCATCCACAATGAGTTAAGAACCCTCCGATCGCGGGATGAGATAGGATCAGAACTTGCGGTGCCCAACCGCGGATCAGAATTCCTCTCCCTTTTACCCTGTCTTCGAAATTTTGATCTCTGACCCATTTCTCAAATTCTTCCGTTTCCTTCTCCTTTCGGATGACCCAGATGAAAGGGTGGTTCGATGCTTCTAAACCTAACCCTAGCTCGATCATCTGCAGCGGTGATAGGCGGCTTTGGCTCCCTAGACAGACGTAACTTACCGATCTGGGTTTCATGGAATCGAGCCAATTCAGAAATTGGGTTTCATCAATCGAGGCCCTGTTTCCTCTCTCCATCCTATCCAAATCCTCCTTGTTGCAGGGCGACACCGGACCGACGCACCAGACTTTCCCTCCTCTTTTCCGTCGGAATTCTTCCACATATACCGGTTCCAGTTCCTCAAAGGTATTAACCACTACTCCATACGCCGCTGCCTCAGCCTCTCTTATTCCTAAGCGAAAAGGATCCGAGCCCTTCAGCATTTTGATTCCATTGGGAAGCTGCACTTTCGTCAATTCAATCCTGTCCGGCAACCCAGAAACAGCGAAGGTCTCCGATTCTGAAACAGTCTCATGAACATTAGTAGCAAGTATATTCTCCGTGCACAGCAGAGAAAAACAACTAGTCCCATCGAACACAACCCTCGGAATCCCTAATTTGTTAGCTGTATGGAGATTCCACACAACTTTTGTATCAGCAATTATGCAACTCGGGCGAGGTTGCATTTCGTTGAACAGTTGCTCGGCAGGCTGTTGGAGCAGCTGAATGCCAAGCAGTAGGTTTTTCATCAAAACTTGCGAAGGGAGAGCATCCATGCTCTCACATCCCTCAGGAAGCCCCGCCTCCGAAGACGGAAACGGAACTTCCAGAAGATTGATCCGGAGCCCAGCTTCTACTGCTCTGTCAATGGCTGTTCTGAATTTTGCAGCGTTGATTGGCGTGGTGATGATGGTGACAACCACCCCACGCTGCGCCAAGAGTCTACCTAGATCTATCATCGGAATCTGGTGACCTTGTGCGAGATGTGGAAGCAAAACAAAGTGAAGAAGAGATTGATCTGAAGAAGCCATTTCTGTTGGGTCTGTGTACTCTGTTTCTTTGCCACCAACTAGTGTTCCGTCTTTTGGGTGCTGCAACTGTTTTATACTTTTATAAACTACCAAGGCCTTGACCTTGGTTTGTAAATGTTAAAAAAATAAAATACTACCTTAATAAACTACGCTTTTGTCGGGTGATGTAAGAGACAAAGTAATCAATTAGTGCATTTTTCTTGTGCTTTCTATTATTATTATTATTTTTTAACAGTATATAATTATGGAGAAAAGAAAATGAAATTTATAAGGTGTGAGTGAAATTTGAAATCCCTTGAAAGTTTGTAATGAAGCACGGGGACAGAAAGTGGGATTAGTGATTTCTATTATTCTTTACTCGGTAATAATTAGCACATTTTTAGTCAAACAAAATAAATGCTTTTGTTTGGGTTTGAGCTATAGACATCGCAGGCTTAAGTGGAGAGGGGACACGACTAATTGGTTGAAATTTTATAAATATTAATATTAAAATTTTATTTTGATATTTTTAATAATTGAACGAGTTTTATGAGATTTTATATATATGTATATATTTAGGATAAAACTAAAGAAATCAGAATCATAAAAGATCAAAGTGTTTCGATTGATGAGAGATGAGACCAATGAAGCACCAAAATTGTATTTTGGTCCCAAATCTCCAATACCGACACGGACTCAATCTTCACGATACAGGAAGGTGTCGGCACTTCCTTCAGAGGATCGACAACCTGTGCGATTTTAAACGCTAC